TGATACAAAAAAACCTGGTTGAATTTGCAGTGCCCAATGACACATATGCATCTGTCGTCAGGACATCCTCTGACATCATGTCAAAGGTACATACTTGCCCAGTATCCACATTGTCAGTACTCCGTGGTGTAGTGGTTAGATCGTCCGCCCGGAGAGCGGAAGGTCGCGGGTTCGATCCCCGACCACGTCATACCAAAAGACGTTAAAATATGGTACTTGTTGGTCCCTGCCTGGCGCTCGGCATTGATAGGTATAACAAGGACTAGTCGGCTCGGAGTCAGTATAAAGTGTCTGAGTGGGGTACTCATGCTTCACTGCGGCATGGTATCTCAGTGGGCTAGCACTCTAAAACCAGCTTAATTCTGGGCTAGTACAAGCAGCCGCACATACACATACACACGCATGCACGTCGTCATATGAGCGAAATATTCTCAAGCACGACGTTAAACCAAATTTCACCTCACCTCACATTGTCAGTAAACTGCCAAACTGACTTAACTTGGGTAAAAACTACAAAGCCTCAAATTGTCCAACCCGAACCTTCTACTAAGACTCCAGAATCATGCTTAAACAGCCAGATACTCCCTGAAGCACTGACACAACCAAACAGTCAGCATTCTTCGTCATCTTAATCCAATACTGAAAATAGATCTGCAACAAATTCCGACAGGGTTGTGAAACAAAATGTCAAACAGAGAAAAGACATTGTGAAAAAAAGTGGAAGACTTTCCAAAGGTTCAGAAAATCGAATTCAGTTGTTTAATCGATATGGTTTACTTGAGGATATGGATGTGTCAGAAAACATCTATCCACAGGCACATAGCTTGTCGCCCTCGAAGACAGTGAGGGGTAGATCCCCTATCAATCCACCTAAAAGATAGGTAATTCTACTAATATCGTACAGTGGAACTGTAGAGGACTAAAAACTAATTTTAATGAAATACAGCTATTGGTCCAAGATTTAAGACCATCAGCGTTGTATCTGCAGGAGACGTATCTGAAACAGACGGACAGTTTTGACTTACGTCAGTTTAAAGCCTATCATTGTTTTTCTCCTCCGGGTGATATGGCCACTGGAGTATCTACTATCCTTATACGACAGGATGTTATTCACAGCCCTGTTACACTCAACACTAATCCAGTGCGACTTACTCTGGGTGTAGCATTTATATTGTGCTTTCTATATGTGCTGCCTTCATCGGCACTTCAGCAGATCAATCTTCAATCACTCTATGATCAACTCTCGAAGCCCTGTGTTATTATGGGTGACCTAAACGGTCACAACCCGCTCTGGGGCAGTACTAAAACTAATACTAAAGGTAAAATACTGGAAGATTTCATTTCAAATAATGACCTGTGTATATATAATGATGATTCAAGCACCTATCTGCAAGTAGTATAAGCCATAACCGGAAGTGACGTTATAATGGAAGTGACGTGCTGAAAACATAAAACATGTGTGTTCTATTCATTCATTTTATTTCACTTTAAATTGTAGTAGGTCGTTCCATCTTAGCTAGTTCAAATAATGAAACATGTTGCCACCCACACACCAACGTTGAGGTGTGGCACGACCGACTTCAGTGTGGGAAAATATTTTTGTTTTTTTTTGTCCTCGAAACACTTTATCACAGTCTATCACGGACGTGTGGTGACTAACATCTCCATCCATATGGAAGGGTTTCCAATGGCGATCAATCTTCGTCGTACAGGACGCGTCTCTTTGTGTAGACCATCCTGTATCTTTTGGCAGTGTTGACAGATATGAGTTGGTTGGCGTACGATATGGTTAGGGTAGTCCACACTTATTGAGTCGGTCTGTCTGCCGCATATGAGTGCTTTCACACTGTCAAAGTTGATATGCTGTCTTGCATGATAGTTGAGTGTAAACCCCCTAACCTTACACACTGTCCTTGTGCCGTCTTGTTTAGACCGTTTCAATTTGTAGGCATAGTTCTTTGGGCCACCTGACACGAAAGTTGATATGCTGTTGCCATCCAGTTCATCTGTCAGGTCTCCCAAAGTGTCTCTTAACGTCGGATTCCAAGCATCAGGCTTGTGGACGTAAATGATGATGTCCGTGTCAAAATATAGCACCCTCCGTTCAAGCTGCGTCAAGTAGCTGTGAAAAAAAAAATATATATATATTGTAAATACCATTTATAGGCTATTCATATAATGTCTCAAATATTCCATATTGAAGTTGAATTACAGTTAGTTTCTAACTTTGCTATTTAATGTAATACCTTACCTGTATAATTTGAGCCGTGCTTGTGCTGTAACCCAGGCGGCGATGACGACATTGAAGGCAGGATGCAATGAGAGGAAATCCTTCCTTGGTTCTGTGGAGACGAACAGCATGTTTTCGTTCACGATGAGGACATCTTTGACTTCATGCCGCTCGTCTCTCAACATGGCAAAGAAAGCGGAAGGTTCTGTGATATAGCTGGCTTTTTCAAACCCTAATCTCTGCCCAAACTTGCCCCAGTGATTGTTCAGACATCCTTTCGCCAATGTCCGCAGCCCAGGATTTTTCCTGATTTGGGTTTGGTCGAGTCTGACCCCTTCTTTCTGGTAAATCTTCTCTACATAATTTTGAGGATCAGTACACCCATCAGGGAGGCCGCTAGCTTTTTGTTTTATTTTGAAGAAGTTATCCACATATTTTGCAAAGAGACCTCCTTGATGGGTATTTCTACAGTAATGGGAAAACCTATCAAAATGCCAGGCTTCAAATATGTGTAGAACCCTGTATCCACACTCACGTACTGATGTCTGCACCTCAATGGTTGTGTATGTTCCCACCCATGCACGTTCCTCATCCGTATGACAACAATCCCCATCCAGCTGGCCATCTGCACATGTTCTGCATAGAGGGAACTTGAGTTTCCCTCCAGCTCTGTACGGCAATAAGGGATGGTACAGTTGTGAGGGAGGAAGAATGCGACACTGGATGAGTCCTTCTAGCTGATTCAATTGTGACACAGGGGGATTATCCACAACCGATGGGTGACCTAACGGGAATTTTCCATATTTGCAAATGTATGGATACAGGGAACACACATCTACATATTTGATTTTTTCATCTTCTTTGGCAGAATAATACAATTTTGTGGCATTTGTTCTTCCCCCAAAGAAGGCGTCACGAGGGTCTAAAGGATTTGACATAAATTCAAAGCCAGCGAGGAATTCTTTCAATTCTGGATTTGCTTTCTGACTGTCTTTGAATTCACATTCCCATATCTGGACAATGTTCTCCACGTCTTTATGCTGGCTGAGTATTGCAAGGCGGTACAGGTTATTTTGGTAAACCTCTCTCATGGTTATACCCAGGGTAGGATGTGCTTCACATCTTGCAGCCTTGTAGCACTTTGTACAGCCGTGCCAGAAACAGCCCATGAATTCAAACAGTCTTGCTTTCCCTGTCGTATCTATCAACGCTGTACCGGGATCCATCCAAACACTGGAACGTAGCTTCCCCTCCATTGCGTGAATGCTCTATTTTGAGCTTTTGGTCTTGATGCATTAACCATCTTAACCACTGGAGACACTGTATTGAGTAGCGCCTCTCCGGTTTGTATCCATGTGGCGGTATGATGGCAATGGTTTCTGGTTCCAGGTAGTTTTTCCTGAACACGAGCATACACGCCATAGGAAGGGTTGTTGCTTCTAGGAATGGATCTACGTTGTTTTGCCTGATGAATACGTCACGGAAAGCAGCACATCCTCTCCTCAGAATATCGACATCACTTTGACAGTAAGACAGTATATCCTCAGACATAGTGAATACGGTATTTGCAGAAACTTTTTGTCATTGTACCATTTGATGACAGTTTCCCGTTCACCTGAGGACATACTGTCAGGACCATAGGTGTCCATGGGAGGATAGGCTCCTACATAATTATTGTTGACTTATGTACTGAAGAAATGAGGGAAGTATCCTTTTGACAGTTCAGACAGACCAAATGTCTTTGGGAAGGATTTCAGCGGCGTGTCGAGAAAGTTCAAAGAATCTTTGAAGGTCACTCGTCCCACTTTCATCATCAGAATCTGTTGTCCCCGAGTACAATTTGTGGAGCAAAACCACTAAGTGCTTGTTGAAGTATTGTAGCAGCAGATGACCATCATATCCACGATAATTGTGGGCTATGACCAACACATCATCCATGTCTTCCTCACCATCTTCACCACAGTTTTGGTATTCCTGCATTGTCGAATTAGGAGGATCCCTCTTTCTCTTCGTCTTGTTGTTTTCTTGTCAACAAGAGATAAAAGTCTACCTCCCATTTCCTCCAAAGTCTTGTCTCCTCTGAAGACTAGTGATCTTGAAGGTCCTACACCTTCCATTCTCCAAGGGCACCCCTCACACAGATCGGTTGATGTGTCCCGGATACATCTAAGGTGCACTACACACAAGTTAGGTATATGTATACCCGTCTCCTGTTGGCAATCAAAGTCATAAAATATGAACTTTTGTTTGTCATATGATGAGACGTCATCTACAGTGCTCGGGTTAGTGCCTTGGTCCTCCATTATCGGCTTTACGTAGCAAAGGTGTTTCGGGGTGAGGGGTTGCTTACAGTTCTTGCACAGACGTTGTTCCGAACAGGTATGTTTGTGGGCATTCTCTTTCTGATGACAGATTGAACAACGGTGCAAAGAGTGACATGTGCTAGTAGGGATACCAGCTTTGTTGGTATACATATCCTTGTGTCGTTGGTAACAATAAGAAGTGGGAAACCACCTCTTGCAGTCCAGGCAAGGGATGCCTTCACCTTCAACTTTACCACAATAGCCAGGACGCCTACACTGGTGACATCTAAATTCCCTGGTACAGCGATGATCTTCTTTGTTGTTAAACCCAACGTCACATTCTTCACAATAGTCGCTGGACCCTGTGAAAGCTGTCATTGATGTAATCACGTCATAGCGATATTGTGGTGGTAAAGATGTATGACTTTGGAGGGGTTTTGCACTTCGCTCTTGTACAAAAGCTTGTTTTACACATCTTGGGAGTATACCTTAAGCTGATATTCCGGTGCCAGATATTCGCTAAACACAGTCCAAGTTTCTCGACCCGAGCATGGTCCAGGCTCAATACCTATTTCTCTGAATATTTTAATAGCCTCTTCTTTTTTAACATCAGCCCTGTTTGTTCTGGTCAAGGCAGTTCTTCTAGGATCCCATGCTTTACAGTTGGGCTCGAGTCGTTGAAATGGCACAGGCTTCTTTGCGTAATGAAGCCCAACAACCACTGCTCGGGCGAAACACAAATCGTCTTGGTTCTTTCTTCTAACTATGCACTGCTTCTTTTCCAAAAACGTAGCCAGATTCTTGGGACTGTGTTTAGAGCGGTGCCCTCGCCCTTCACCGAGGCGATCTGGATCCTCTACATGGAGGAACTCAATGTCCATGGCAGCATCTATCCTTGCATTGTCGTTGTTGTGGTGTACTGTTTCCACCATTGCCATGATATCCTCTCCATGCAATTCATGCAGACGACGAAATGGTATTCGAATGGGTACATTTAACCCTGGATGATGCAAGGCAAGACCTATCCTGTCATTGGTTTGGCCATTCACATCAAGTCTCAGTTCTCGTATGATAGCATCAAACTGTTCTCTAAGCCCCTGGAGTAATTCCTCGAGTCTCTGTTGTTGCAACCATACAGGGTTAAACTGTGCGTTAAACTTTACTGCATTGGCTCTGAATCGCCGCGCTCTTTGCCTGACCACCCGTTTTAAGTAATAGGCTGGAACAACGGCTCCTCCTTGCTGTTCTGCTTGCTGGTCTATGTCGTCCATGTGGCTGACTAAAGCAAGGTCCTCCTCTGTCTCTTCCAAATGTTCAAGTAGAGACATATCATCTTCAAGTTCCTGCTCTACATTATCCAAATGTTGCATCATGGATAGCTCGTCTTCAACGTCCACTGTATGACTGAATAAAAGTTCATCTTCTTCTTGTTCTAGCAGTTGTTCAACTTCCTGAAGATGGTCAACAAGGAGCTGGGATTCTTCATCTTGATGGAGTGATGCCATGTCTTCAAGCTGAAAAAGATACGGCATCATTCAGTTTGATATGCTCTGTCAAGGCAAGATGGGTGTATTTATATATGTCTACATTGTCACGTGGCCCTTTAAACATGTTACAACTTGTAAAGACAGATAACATCTTACTTTGAATGTGTTTACATATAAGTAGGTGCGTAAAGTCATAATATATAACATCTTTTCTTTAAATGGAAATAACATTGAATCAGTTATCAAACAAAATTCTAAAACACAAACACCTTATAACTTGACTATATTGTTTGTACTTGGAGACGAATAACCTTCGTGTTTGTTTGTGTGTCGTTGTTAATCCGCTTATCCTGAAGGCACGGTCTATGTATCCCAGATGCCCCTTCCTTAGCCGATAATCTGGGTTGATGATACGGAGGAATACTCCACTTATCTCAACGTTCTGGAGCAATATTATCTACCTTTATCTTATCTATATGGGAGACCGTTTACATGTTTCAAACTTCGTGTCTGGGCATGAATCCTGCTCACAAATGGGGATATAAGTGAAGCTGTCTACTCTACCTAATTATCAACTTCACAATGGCAGACAGCGCAGAAGTGTTCACAAGGGATGATCAACGATTCCAGCTGGCTCTTGGAGGTAACGTCTTTTTCGTGGCAAAACTCTGGAATGGTGAGATGAAAATACACATCAGAGAATATGAACAAGGAAGAGGAAGATGGTTGGAGCTTCCTACGAAAAGAGGAATCACATTGACGTTACAACGCTGGTTGGAGCTTGTTTCAAACAAAAGTAGGATAGAAGAAGCAATGGAAAGCCGGTATGGATCACTGAAATTGCATCTTTGAGGAAATATTTACGCAGAAATGGACAGTACATACCCGGATTGGACATACGCAATTGGTACTGGTGTGGAAAGGAGAACGTCATCAAGCCACATAAACACCCAGGAATCAAGTTGAATGTTGATCAGCTGAAGCAGCTTTTAAACTGCTTTATCGCAGTCCCGGATTTTGTACCTGAACTTTTGGACGCTGTACCCTGCTATATACAGCAGGACCACATGAACCAGTTTGGTTATTTTATGTGCCCAGAATGTAACACAAACGGTCTGTCCGTTCGGGACTCGACTCTTGTATCCCGCTCTTGTATTAAATATGCCTTTATTTTACTCCTTGTGTTTTGTTTCTTGTTCTATAAATGGTGTATATATAACGAATATTTAACATTGAGCCGTTAAGGATTGGACATGGCTGGTCATACGATTGTGCCCTGGGATACTATTACGTTTACGCATCCATTTCGGCTACTCGTTAGTAGTTGTAGTGGAGCGGGTAAAACCACTTTTGTGTTTAACTTACTGCAACGCTTGGATGGGGATTTCCCTTTATGTTATCAACCGGTCATAGTGTGGGTATTCAGCGAACATCAGCCTCTGTATGATGAAATATCGAATGTTTGCGCATGGAACGATGTTGCTACATATTTCGTACATAGCGTGGTAGAAGCAGAGGGATATATTCAGAAAAACGGCTGGCTAGTCGTGGATGATTTCTTTGGTGATATTACGTCTGAGGAGGAATTAGAACTACTCAGGTGGTTTGTAAAGAAATCGAGTCACAGGAACGTGGCACTCATATGGTTACAACAGAATTTATTTTATAAAAAACTCGGTATCACAGATCAATCAGCTTGAATTGTACACATATGGTTATTTACAAAAACCCTTGAGACAGTTCTCAGATAGAAACACTAGCACGTCAAGTATTTCCGACAAAGATACCATTTATCCGAGAGGCCTATTATAAAGCAACAAGAAAACTATATACTTATATTCTTTTAGATTTGACTCCTACTATACCCGATGATTTGAGGGTGAGAAGTAACATATTTGACGGATCATGTGATATATACCTTCCCTTATAAATATATTTAGAAACTACCTGTACATGTCACACATGTCTGACTGTGAACAAGTGAACATGACGTGGATTGCTGCGCGTAAAAAGATAAGTTGCTGTAATGACAACAGTTCCGACACGGACGACAGCAGCAGCTATAGCAGTGATAGCAGTACAACCGATTATACACCTTTCAGTTCAGAAAGTGAACTGAGTAGTAGCGAAACTGATCTTAGTGGGGAGGCATCAAGTTGTAATGATAGCAATGAATCCAATGCTTTCTTTGATTCAAAAGCACGTGACCACGTGATAAACAAGAATACCGTTAAAGTATATTATACAGGTCGCGCCAGTGCACCCCGCAGACTTGTGTTAGGCATTCCACCGGTCAAACCCTGGGAATCATCATGAATAAAAGTAAGGTTCAGAAGAATGCAGATATTTTGCATTATGTGTGCAGAAGAAATCCACGCGTGAGGAATAGCATAGTTAGACAGTTGCCCAAAGAGGTTATAGATGCCCTGAGTGAAGTTGCCGTTAATATATTCAAGGGTAACCTCCCGATGACTGTCAGTCAGAGAGAAAAGTTGCTCAAGTACAGACCAAAATTACATCGACTGAGTCGTACGTCCGTAACGGTTAAAGAAAAAACACGAATACTTCAGCAAAAAGGTGGGTTTATTGGAGCCTTAGCTTCCGTGTTAGCGTCTCTCGCAATTAAAGTTCTTACGGGTATTGTGTCGTGATGTCCAAGGACTTTTCTAAACGTATGATATTAATTCCTTCCACGGTGTACGAACGCTTGACTCAAACAACACACAACAATGTACTGAACAAGAAATATTCGGATGTTTTGGAAGAATCCGACAACAGTCATGACCGTATGCAAAAGTATAATGAATTGTTAGAAAGGGCATTGAACATGCAACACGCAGCCAGAGAGCAAGAGAATGATCCAGGGATACCTCCGCCTGTGCATGAAGCGTCTACACAAAACGGTCATTTGGACTTTAATGTGGTAACCGACACATTACAGGGTTTACCTAAATCCTTTAAAAACACTGCCTTAGCTATACTGAACCGAGTTACAAAACATCCTCGCTTAGGGTGGGACCGACTAGGTAGATTAAAACTAGATAGCCAACCGCTAGAAGGCCACAGTATTGTCGATATAGTTCGTGACTTATCCAGAACAAAGACAGCAGCTACCCCGCCTACAGGATGGAACACAGTTCTAAGCTTACTAAAGGACGAAGGACTTAGTAGGGATATGATAGGTAATAGAAATAAGTGGCGAGAACTTGAAGACAGCATAAAAAGAAACCCAGCGACGACGATGAAGACACATTCACACCCAAATCGAAAAGGATTAAACGCTTGAAAAAACGTCTATCGTGGGAAGCAGCGTACTCTAAGTAAAAGCTGGGAAGCCTGGTTAAAGCGCGTTTATTATGACAAGAATAATACTGCTAGCTATGGTTCTGTAAGACAACTCATGGCAGCTATAAAGCGTGCGAAAAAGGGTAACAAACCCAACTCGAGTATGGTACAAGAGTGGTTGGAGGCTCAACAAACCTACACTTTACATAAGGACGTCCGCAAATCATTTCCGAGGGATACGTACAGATCTACTATATGCAAAGTAGATCAATTATAGCAGATGGACTTGGCGGTAATGACATCCGATGCGTCTGTAAATGATGGTTATAAATATACTCTGTGCTTTATAGATGTGTTCAGTAAAATGGTATGGGTAGAACCGTTGAAACTTAAGCAGCCTTCACATGTACTACATGCGTTTAAACGTATTTTAGAACGATCTAGTCCGCGAACTCCCGAGAGTCTTCAAAGTGACAAAGGTAGTGAATTTAATAACAAATTGTTTAAATGTTTCGTGATTAATGAATTGCATTCTAATTATTACACCAGTCAAAACCCAGACACAAAGTGTGCTGATGTCGAACGATTTCAGCGAACTTTGAAAAAACGTATGTGGCGTTACTTTACTAGAAACGGCTCCAATAGATACATAGATGTACTTCAACATTTGCTGCGAGGTTACAATTCAAGCTATCAGAGAACTATCGGGAGAAGCCCTAACGATGTACAGCCGGATGATTACGAAACTTAAATACGCGTTTTAGATTTCATGAACGGCTCAAGGAGAACATCCACAAAGTCAGATAAGAAAATAATACCTTTGCAGGTGGGATGTGCCGTCAGAATAAGTAAAAGTAAAAACGCGTTTGAAAAGGGCTATACATCCAACTGGACACGAGAGGTGTTTTATATCAGTAGAATCGTTTTGGGTAGGCAACCAGTTGTATATAAATTGAAGGACTATGCGGGAAACACATTAGATGGTACGTTTTATCGTCGAGAGTTACAACCAGTACAACAACCGGACATTTACGAGATAGATCAAATTTTGTCCAGAAGATTTAACCCCGAAACAGTACTGGCCGAGACATTCGTATCTTGGAAAGGATATCCTGATATTTAATCAGTGGTTATCGGAAAATAACATACTAGATGTCTTATCATTGGAATTGCTGGGGATCGACCGTACGCAAGAGTGCAGTTGTATTTGCTGTATATTTTACTCTCCCAACTCTATAATACATGAGTCTCCTTCTTTGACAAATGATTAGCACACCTTGCTGTGGGATAAGTAGTAGCCAGCCCACACCTCTAAGGAAAATGACTGACCCTCCCACCTGTAAGGAAGATGACCGGGCCACCCACCTCTAAGGAAGATGACCGACCCAACCACCTCTAAGGAAGATGACCAGACTGCCCACCTCAAAGGAAGATGACCAGACTGCCCACCTCAAAGGAAGATGACCGGGCCACCCACCTCTAAGGAAGATGACCAGACCACCAAACTGTAAGGAAGATGACCAGACTGCCCACCTCAAAGGAAGATGACCAGACCACCCACCTCTAACGAAGATGACCAGCCCAACAACCCCTAAGGAAGATGACCGACCCACCCACCTCAAAGGAAGATGACCGACCCACTCACCTCAAAGGAAGATGACCACACTGCCCACCTCTAAGGAAGATGACCACACTGCCCACCTCTAAGGAAGATGACCACACTGCCCACCTCTAAGGAAGATGGCCAGACTGCCCACCTCAAAGGAAGATGACCAGACCACCCACCTGTAAGGTAGATGACCAGACTGCCCACCTCTAAGGAAGATGACCGACCCACCCACCTCTAAGGAAGATGACCAGACTGCCCACCTCAAAGGAAGATGACCAGACCACCCATCTGTAAGGAAAATGACCAGCTCACCCACCTCTAAGGAAGATGACCAGCCCAACAACCCCTCAGGAAGATGACCACACTGCCCACCTCTAAGGAAGATGACCACACTGCCCACCTCTAAGGAAGATGACCGACCCACCCACCTCTAAGAAAGATGACCAGCTCACCGACTTCTAACGAAGATGACCAGCCCAACAACCCCTAAGGAAGATGACCACACTGCCCAGCTCTAAGGAAGATGACCACACTGCCCACCCCTAAGGAAGATGACCGACCCACCCACCTGTAAGGAAGATGGTCAGACTGCCCACCTCAAAGGAAGATGACCAGACCACCCACCTCTAAGGAAGATGACCAGACTGCCCACCTCTAAGGAAGATGACCGACCCACCCACCTCTAAGGAAGATGACCAGACTGCCCACCTCAAAGGAAGATGACCAGACCACCCACCTGTAAGGAAAATGACCAGCTCACCCACCTCTAAGGAAG